GGGGGGGGGAGTGGAACGATTGTCCCAACAGTCTCTACACTACCTCTTTCTTCAAAATCATGGGAGAAGACCAGCGTTCGTGGCGTCTGTTGCCGTTGCTGTGTTGGTAATTATGATAAATCAATGTCTTGCTTCCCTGTAAATCCGACTGAAGTCTAGATGTGCACAATATATATAATAATATGTGTGCTGTGGATTGCTTCTATGTAGATCTGTTCACTCCTTTTCTATGGTCTCGCATAAGATCAAATAATTATTTCTGATGTCTTAACAGTCACAAGTGTAAAGAATGTGCACTTATTAGAATCTGGCCAAGAAACGTGACAGCTGAAGAGAGTGAATATTTTATTTTAAATTAGATTTCAGGTTTCGAAGTGTGAGGGCTTGGCTTTTCTTTACGGCCTTACCACATATATCTCTAATGGTCAAAACAAGAGAGAATGATAACAATATGAAAGTAGTAGTAGTAGTAGTAGTGAATGAACTTCGTATTCCGATTGTTTTCTATGGGTACCCCCAAGGGCTTCAATGAGTTTTATTTTTCTGCTGTTTTCTTCACATAAATATCCCTAAGTTTCACTGGAGTATGTATTTGTATCTCGAAGATTTTAAAGGAAAAGTATTACGCCGTTATTAGATTCTAGTCCAACTGGGCTGCAGTGCTAAGAACCGTATTTGATTCGTTCTGGCGTCTGAGTGTCCAATTTCTGTAATTCACTGCATTAACAGGGGTCAAGACAACGTTCAAAGCGGCCTCTTCAATCACTTTTCATGATTGTCTCCTGGTCTGTAACGTTCCAAAATTAATCTAACCATCACGCGTGAATGTTCGTGCACGCACATCCCCTAGACCCGATGGACACCACAGAAGCAAAGTCGCAGGCTTTAATGGTGAATTTGGAGAATGAAAACGGGATACTGTTTTCTGATTTTGGAAATACCAGACGCGTCGTATTTTTGAGAGTGAAACAAAGACGTTCAAATCTTGAAGCTAGTTTGATTTTCTCCAGACTTAGAATCGCTCTGTTGTGCGTTTTTCTCGATGAGTGTATTTGTGCGTGTTCTTGTGTGCTTGTGTTTGTGTTGGTAAAGGGAGCGAAAAGGAGAGAGAGCAAGAGACACAGATAGAGTGAGAGTGAGAGAGAGAGAGAGAGAGAGAGAGAGAGGCGTGGGGCGGAGATGAAAGTACAGATCGGTTGAACGATGTCTGGACCGTTAGTGGTTGATTAGACTTTAACAACAACTTATCGATGACAATAAAATTCTTTGTCTCTGGGTTCCAGTTGACCACACTTATTTCTGAAACTCTTTGTTGATATTATCGATTCCCTCAATAGTTGTTTCTTTCCCTTTGTTACATTTGATGTTGCTATTGCTATTGCCGCTGTTTTAGCTGCTTCTCTTTGATCTCATTTCGAGGAAAGAACAACATACAACGCATACTAAACAAAACGCCAACAATTATATTCTCGTTGTGTTCACTACAGCTGTCACCTTTGGCTTTCGCAGTAATCAATTGATGTCAATTTCCATCTTTAGCACTGGCACAAGGAGTATTAAGGAGGTATTTTGAATGCGATCAAAATGACAGCAGCACATCTGTAGACATGGATCAATGTCAGCAGGGATGCAGGAAGAGTTGCTCGCAGTTCGCCCTTCGTTATCAGAATTATCCCATTGTGGGAAATACGCTACTGTGAATTGTGGTGCTTTGTTAGAGAGGGCTCGTGGAGCACAGCTTGTGTTTGTGTGTGTATATTTTGTGTGTATAATGTGTGTGTGTGTGTGTG